CATAAAAATCAAATGAATTTGATGCTTATATGGTACCACTATTGCTTGTATGTTTGAAATGATCTAGTGGTAGCATATGACATGTTTGTGGGCTTGTAAACCTAGTGTTTGATTTAGAAAATGAGCTATAAGTGTTTAACTCAACATGGTACAAGATAACCCTTATTTGGAGGTGTGAAGAAGCTTGTCCTTGGATCAAACCAAGTTACATATCTTTTGCAAGTAATCTAGATTGAACCAAAATTGAGAAAATGATCTTTGTTTCACATGGTTTCACCCCAACCTATCCATAATTTAAGCTCACCTTTTGTGCTAATTGTTGACAAAGGGGGAGAGAAACAAAGATATGAGTGATAGGGGAGCATTGGACATAAGGGGAGAGATATGCTAAAGGAAAGGGACCAATTAAAATTTTGAGCACACAAGTAGGGGGAGCAAGCTCATAAACTTGTATGATGCATTTGAATGAACATTTCATATATTTCCTCGCATGGTACAAATTCCAAGTTTCAACATTCATGCTTGTGTGGTGTATGCTAGTTATAGGTTTGAATGATGAAATGAAAAACTAGCATGCATAGGCTAAAAGTAACTAGACTCATGCTCACATTATGAAAACTAGACCCTTGCTTTTAATGTTGATCTCATGGGGTATTCTAGTTTTTGTGTATGTCTAGTTACTAATGGTGCTAATGATGGTATATTGGTGCACTCCGATTGGTATCATGCTTCAAAGGTCCATCTCTTATACCTTAGCATCATTTGGTAGAAATTGACTCCTATATTTCCTATCTAAGCATATGTGCAAGCTACAATCCAAACTCTTAGCACATATGTAGGGGGAGCAATTGCTACCATTTAGAGTTCATGAAACTTGTCTATACCCTTTACACATGGTAAATAAGCTTGGGCAAGCAACATGGATTCAAATGAACTTTAATTCATATCTTTGTATAAGGGTTGTCATCAATTACCAAAAAGGGAGAGATTGAAAGCTCTAGATTGGTTTTGGTTAATTGATGAAACCCTAAGTGCTAACCTAGTTTATCAAGATGATTATGAGATAGGTAGCACTACTCCAAGTGATGAAGCAATGACGAAGATCATGATAATGGTGATAGCATGGTGATGATCAAATGCTTGAACTTGGAAAAGAAGAAAGAGAAAAACAAAAGGCTCAAGGCAAAGGTATAAAATGTAGGAGCCATTTTGTTTTAGTGATCAAGACACTTAGTGAGTGTGATCACATTTAGGATAGATAGCCGCATACTATTAAGAGGAGTGTAACTTCGTATCGAAATGCGGTTATCAAAGTGCCACTAGATGCTCTAACTCATTGCATATGCATTTAGGATCTAGTGGAGTGCTAACACCCTTGAAAAAATATTTGTGAAAATATGCTAACACATGTGCACAAAGGGTTGAGATGGGTTTGGGTCCCTCTCTCCTCCCGCCGAGCTTATGAAGTGGATTCAACGCTTTGGAAAAATGAAATGTCTATTTTCTATTGCGCACGGATGCAAAATTCTTAGTGGTTGGCACATTTGAGCAAGGGTGAAGAAGTTAGAGTTGAAATGGAGTTGGTCGAAATGATCTTTGGCGTCGGTCTCTTGGCCGGACACGCTGAATCACTCAAATGACCGGACGCTGAAAAACTGCGTCCGGTCGGTATCGAGCAACCGCATGATGGGTAAGGTTGAGCACGACGCGATACGTGTCCAGTCAAGGTGGACAAAAAAAACATGCCTTGGGGAGCTTTATGAAGAAACGACCGGACGCTGGGGCTTCAGCGTCGTCCGGTCAGCTTTTGCGGAAGCGTCCGGTCAACCGTAGCCGTTGAAATCGACGAACAACGTTTGAAGGCTGGTGACGCGTGGCGTCCATCAGGCGACCGGACGCCGAGGGCCAGCGTCGATCGGTATGACCGAGGCGTCCGGTCGAGCGTGTTTTGCTTGATGAAGGGGTACAACGGCTCTATTTGATGGGGGCTCTATTTATAGCCCCATGGCGGCTCAAGGGAGCTCTCTTGCACATTTTCATTGACATAGCAACCTTGTGAGCTTAGCCAAAGCCCTCCCACTCATCTCCATCATTGATCCATCATCATTGTGAGATTGGGAGAGAATCCAAGTGCATTGCTTGAGTGATTGCATCTAGTGGCACTTGGTATTCGTGTTGCGCCATGGATTTCGCTTGTTTCTCTTGGTGGTTGCCACCACCTAGACAGTTGGAGCAGCGGTGAAGGATCGGCACGAGTTGGTGATTGTTCGTGGCCGCCTTCGGTGATTGTGAGGGGAGTTGTACCTTCTCCATGGAGTGCCAAAAGGTAACTCTAGTAAATTGCTCGTGTCATTGAGTTACCTCACTTGTGGGTCGGTTCTTGCGGTGTCCTATCGTGTGGACGAGGTTTGTGAAACACCTCTCTAGCCGAACCACCAAGTGTTGGTCGACCTAACGGGACTAGCGTGTTGGCAAGCACGTGAACCTCGGGAGAAAAATCGGTTGTCTCTTGTCATTCGCATTCTCCCGGTGATTGGCTATATATTCATCGTAATTTGGTTCACTCCACGACCAAGCGGTATAATCGTCTCACTTACTCATTTACATTTCCGCAAACTAGATATAGCAAGCTCTTTAGTGTAATTAGAATTGAGAGCTTGCCTTGTGCTTTAAACATATCTAGTGAAGCTCTTTAGTGTAGCTTTTGTGAGAGCTCTTAGTGAGTAGTGGTCAAGTAGATTGTGTGCAAATAGATCATTGCAACTAGAATTGTTGGATAGATGGCTTGCAACCCTTGTAGAGCTAGAGCAAGTTTGCATTTCGCTATTTGTCTTACTAATCAAATTGCTCTAGTTGATTTGTAGTTTTTAAATAGGCTATTCACCCCCCTTCTAGCCATATTAGGACCTTTCAGGCGGGAAGAAGGGACTGATGGGGAGCTCTGGCCGGGCGGAGATGGGAAGAAGGGGCTAGCTGAGAGCTCTAGCGGGGCAGGGACCTATGTGATATCATATCATGTCGATTAGCTCATTTAATATGTAATTTGTAGCATATTCATAGCATGTGGAAATATAATTATGATATTTTTTACCGATGGTTGCATAAAGCGATCGTGTGAGCTATGAACTTGTTACTTTAGTTATTGTGTAAGTTGTTTTATGCTATTTGTATGAGCATGAATGACTGAATTATGAATCTATAATGTATTGTGGCTTGTAAACTATTGTATATTGTCCGTGTAAACTTTATGTAAGTGAGATTGACATATTTGTGTGCCATTTAACTATGAATTTATTATTTCATATCGCAATGTTTTTTTTTATTTGATCTTTCTTGAATATACTTTGACGGATACCTGGTACCCGTTGGACGTGAGCATAGGTAAGAAAGCTAAGATCACGAATATGCTCGCGGACAGATAAATACTTAACCCACACGTTACTCGACCTGCTATAATCATGAATATAATCCACACCATACCCGTTGGACGAAGGTGATTATAATCATGAATATGCTTGCGGACGGATAAATGCTTTATGCGCACCTTACTCGACCCGCTGCCATATCTCTACGCCGGACGCCTAGATCAGATCGCTGGTCTGTGAATCAACCACGGGCTGACGGGCATGTTCGGAAAGAGCACGCACGCCAAAGCCGCAGTGACCAATTCATTCGTGAGCCGGCGGGAAAACGAGAAAAGCTACCCAATGCTGAAGGAAAAAGCATGGCAAGCCAAACTAGCGTCAAGTTACCCTCGGACGAGTTTTGACAAGCCCCGAAAGTAATCCAAATACGTCACTCTAACAGCTTGGCTAAAATAAGAAGCCAATTTTTATTATTTATTTAGCTATTTTATAAAATAGAAAATTCCTCAAAAGAGAAGAGGTTCACACCAACCTTGCTATTTTAAAAAAGCGTCCATGATTAACTTTCTACGACCATAAATTTTTATTTTACAAAGTCGGATAGAACATTTGTTGGAGCCTTCTTACTAAACAAATTCTAAATTAGGCTCCACAACAAAAATAGCCAAGCCGTTGGAGTTGATATGTTTTCTCTTCATAATAAAGAGCCGACATCCACACACAATACAATGCCTAATAGACTTGTCAAGAGACGACACTGACAAAATATGAAAATATGTAGTGATGACAGAGTACTTCAATTATCGACGCATAACTTAACAACCATTATTCCATTTGGGTTAAGCTATGTTTTCTTTATGAGGCTTGCCAAAAATTTATTGACATCTACCGCCTAGATGTTGTACATGCCCTAACTTAGGTTCTCTAAAACGCCTTATGTTGATGACTGAGAGTAATTAATTTAGAGGAAGAATGGAACTAAATTGCATGCCATTTAATTAATTAGTTGACCTAGGCAAATGCAATAATAAGCAATTTTCACAAACCGAGAAAACAATTCAAAAAACTGTAGGCAATATATGGAGCATAGCTGCATAGGCATAGAAATGGCCACTCTTGACCAAGAGACACTTCTATCTCAAAAGGAGAGAAGAGAGAACCCAAGGATAATACAGTTACATGAATATGGTTTTCCCGACGACCCATATACCATGTTGCTATGTGCTAACAGCATCCTAGCTCTAAAACTCCCCAAAAACAAACAGCCTAAAGAATGGAAAATGGTCGCTGTCGACCCATCCTTTTAGTATGTACAGTGTAACTTCCCAGCAGTAATTGCTACTCTTTTTTTCTCTAACTGTATAATGGTAAAAATTAGGTCAAATAGTCAAATGATCCGAACAAACAGTAGCACAGCATGACAACAGCTTGGAGAATTTTCATCCAGATTCATGGAGGATGGCTCTCTTCAAACTTGTACCTTCCACCTAAACAGAAAGCACGCTCAGTAACTATAAACCCAGAGACTGATAACAAGAAATCCGATAAGTATCTAAATGGAATATCGGTGGATTTACCTGCCATCACAACTGGCAGTCGCCACTCTAAACAGAGGCAATGAAGTTCAGAAGTCTATCATTGCCATCCGCGGCAACCACCACAACTCCAATTGCCGCTCACAACGGGCTCTAAACCTTGGTCCCACGGTGAGCAATGCCGGTGTATGCGCAGGCCACAGACGGAACATCGTAGATCGGGTGGCGGCTGAGTATTCATGCAGTTGAGGCATGCTACCTCTTCAGGTGTGGGACCATTTGTTGGGAAGTTCATATTTGAAGCTCCATCTTCTACCATGAAAGACATATCATCAAAACCAACTCCTTGTTGAGCAAAGCTTCCGGTGCCGTTAACATCATCTTGCAGACCAGTAGCCATCCCAAATGCATTGTCAAGGTGTGTGTCATCAGCTTCAAGCAGCTCAGTGAACGAGAAATAAGTTTGGGGTTCATACTCGTCCATCACAAAGCTGCCACAGCTAGTGTCATTCTGCTGGTGATTAGAAGTGAAATCAGGTGGGGCAGCATATGCAGTTCCTTTGGAAAAATCCCACCCCAATAGTTCTGAAGCATCCACACTGTCAGCCTCCGAAAAAGAAATTTCATTCATATGGCTGAAATTGATGTTTCCATTGCCTGAAGGTGTATTCTGGATATAATACTCATTCACAGGTTTACCAGCTTGATCAAGGTATTCAGAAATTTTAGTTTGTGCTCTTCTTATAGACAGCTTCTGGTTACTTCCTGGGGCAATGCTTGCTGTGTTCGCTGATATATCAACATCCCTTGTTTCTTCCCCAATTGGTTCAACTATTCCATATGAAGCAAGCAGTGGGTCCTGATCTGCTAAAGCAAAAGTCTCCTCACTAGATAGCATAGTTGACAGCAATGATGTTGCAACTGTTTGCTCACTAATTTCTGGTTCAGGCTTTACATAATTATCTGAATGAGGACATGGGGGTATGGCTCTCCTTCGGCACCTACAACATCGGTATCCAACCAACTCACCAAGCCTATCTTCATCAAGTTGCAAGGAATCACCATGAAACCAATCTGTAAGCAGGGAATTTCGAGATGTTAAAAAAAGAACCGAAACATAACACAAAAAAAGATAATGCTCTAAGCTACAGCAATGCTAAATAAACTTACTTGTGCACTTCTCACAGCGTACATACAGGAAATCCAGAGAATAAGCTTTGTCACATAGACAACATTTTGGTTTTATTGACGAACCTATACCATCCTTGCTTTTAAGGATTACATTATTCGCCCTGAACTCACTTCCATCATCCTTGTCATTCTTATTTTTCTTCCATATGAGACCAAAATATGTGATCGGTTGAACCTTTTTAGCCTTCGTTGGTTTTTCTGACTTTGACTTTTTAGCTTTTTTCTTTTGGACACTGGTGATATTCTGAGTTGCCACTTTAGCGAGTGGCTGGGCTTCCACCTTCACGAGTGGCTCGGCTTTCACATTGACAACTGGCTGGGTTGTAGCTTCCACCTTTCCAACTGGTTGTGCTTTAACCTTTGTGACTGGCTCGGCTTCAACTTTGGGAGCAGGTTCAGCAGAATGGGAAGAAGTAACCTTAAATACAATTCTGGGAGCGGCCACTGGCTGTTGGCCATTACTCTTCTGTTGATGCTGGATATAACTTGCATTTGTATTTGTATTGTAACTAGTGAGCATAAGACTCTGCTTCTGGAGGCATAACTTGCATATCAAACTGGAAGTAGCACTGCCTCCTTTGCTAACAACAGATCTTGATGTACACTCTTTATGACAATTACCTGAAAGTTATTTTTAGATAGCAACATTGTCACTAAAGTATTCGAAATATCAGAAATTGATCAAATATCTTCTTGGATATTACAAGGAAATTTTTTGGAAAACAGATAATCTAAAAAGCACGGCATATATCCATACCTTGACAAGAGCTGCATTTAACAATATCCCTGCATGTGATCAATCAAAATAGAAAAAGTCAGTATCTCAAAAAGAATAAATGTATAATTGTTAATCAGTATATGAGGCGACGTAGAAAAACCTGTAGAGAACATCCTTCTTGCATGAGGTGCAGGGATAGACTTCTCCCTTGTGAAAGAGATAGGAAAAGACATCTCCATCAGATGCTTTTACTCGCCTTGGGTATAAATTGGTAAAACAGTAAGAGTCTGGAATTCCTGGAGCAGGCAAGGAGCTAGCCTCAGCATGCTGCTCAAATTCTCGTAACATGTACAGTGGCACATGATTTTCAGAAAACCACAATTTTCTACTTTCATCCTGATCACTTTCTGCTTCCAAGATATTTTTTGTCAGACGGACAGGAAGATGCTTTTGGTTGGGAAACTTAAGTGCATATCTTATCTTATTGTCGATTATTTTTTTATCACAGAGTACAGCATTTCTGAGGGCAGAAAAGTCAGCATCAGAGCTTTTTCCATCTGAAGGAATTTGATCTGGAGGGATGAACTCCTTCCATCTGATGTGGGCATCAAGATATCTAACCTGAGAGAAATGATTATTAGGTTTGTGCTAAGGTAGGTTCTTTGCAACATCAGGACAGAAGTGCAAACCTGCAGAGCAAGTTGAGATGAAGTCTGGCTTAGTCCAACACATGCTCTCCAGAAAAATTGCCGAGATCGTCTTGGAAAATTGGAACCTTCATGGTAAGATAAACCTGCTATCCTTTTTTTACCGCCTAGTAGGTGACAAAAACACGTCAACTTGTTCATGTCCTGAATACTGATAGAGGATCAAGTAAGACTTCTAATAGTTAAAACATGTAATACCTTGGCGAGCAGCTTTTCTTATGGTTGAATGTAGAAGAGCCCCCCTCTGCAAAGTACGTTTTGTTATATTTCCTCCGGTCCACCAAGTCCAGCTGTTGTCATCGTCAGTAGCAGTACCAGATTCAGACGCCAACAAACGTTTTCTGCCACGCCTTCCACCAGCCCCACGCTTTTGGTATTGTGCAGGACGAGATGCTACCGTCGATGGACCCGGAGATTCCACAGGCCAATCGTCTATTGGCTTCAACCAGCTTGCAGAAAATGCTACTCCACGGATGTTGCTTTCCAACTGCATATAATATGTAACAATTTTTAATACAACAATTGAATTCGTTTTTCACTGCTATTTATGGCAATAACCTTCTTCAGCTAGGCTATTTATCTTTCTTTCAATACCATTTATTGCATATCTAACTTGATTCTCCAAAAGCAATTAATACACAATATTATCACATTAACACGCTGCTCCCTCCATTCCAAAATACAAGTCATCTGGCTTTTCTAGATACATTGTTTAAATTAAATGTTTTTACTATGTATCTAGACATAATGTACATCTAGATACGTAGACGTAGCAAAAGCTATGTATCTAAAAAAGTCAGAACAACTTACAAATTGAAACGGAGGGAGTACTATATATCCACTCTTTTGTTCGCCTACAAAAGTCATCATCTAGTACTTATAATCATACCAGAGTTGTGCTAGTGAAGCACAAGGTGGCATTACCATGCAACTTTTCTATTTTGTTGTATCTGGTATGTTTATCGCAGTGGCTCTATTAGGAGAATTTTCTTTCGAGTGAGTTGCTTTTCACACCAGGTACAGTATTCTCTGTTTCCCTTTGCACTAGGGTTAACAAACAATTTTATTTTGCACCCTGTTATGTTAAAGTAAGTTTCAACATCATGAAACCATAACAAATCTAATAGAACCTTCATGGTGCCTCATATACATGATTGAAAGCCACGAAGTCTCATGAAAGTTTTATTTCACAAGGTTTTGCTCAAAGCAAAACTTATTGTGGCATACACTGTCGAGAAATGAAAATATATACATATACCAGTTCAAACTGAAACAAGTTTAGCTTTACATGGGGCAAAGTAAAATTTACTATATCTTTCACTACTGAATTATCTATTTCACAAAACACCTTTCCAGCTATTTCTTTGAGTCAAATATCAATGATTTATAGGAACAATTTTTTGTTGGTTTCTAACATTAGAGTTAATTTCATTTATTAGATAAAATGCATGCAAGGATATTATGTACCTAGCTCAAGCTGCATAAGAAACTGAAAAATATTATTCTATTTGATGCCACCTTAACACTGCTGGCATTCACAGCAATATGCTTATCACAACTTAGTTGTAGAATATTGAGAGGTATCAAAGGATGCCAAAAAGAAAATCCTGTAACTCACCTCAAGCAAGAGGGGTATTATAGTTCTGCAGTTGGAAGCTTCTTCTAGTTGTTGACGCCACCATTCTCTCTGCTGCACGTCTTGTAGTGAACCAACCAACAGGGCACGCAAACTTTCCTCCATGTTGGCTAAATAAGCAGCAATACTGGGGAAGTGGCTGTCAGAATTTTTTATTACACGCATGGTGCTAAGAACTCGAGCAGAACTTTTAGCAGCATTTGTCGTGGTCATGTTAAGAAAACAAGCCTTTTTGTTTCCACTTGCTGAACTTCTGCAAGCAAGGCACCAACCACATCTATCTCTTGGAACTTCAATAAGCTTCTTTTCAGTACTCGGCCAAACAAATTGTGCGACTGCTGAGGAAAATGCTTTCAACTGTAGAACATTGTCTGCAGCCACTTTCCTCTTTGGTTTTAAGGTCAGTTGGGATGCGGAAACCTTACCTTCATCGGATGTTATAACAGCTAGATTGGCAGCAGCAGACGCTGCAATGTTGCCATGATTGTAGAGATTCATGTATGCTTGCGGTTTAAAAGAAGACGATTTTGCTGCCTTGCCACAACTCATGTTTCCAGATCTTTCAGTAAACAGCTGAAGGTGGTGTTTATCTTGCAAAGATGGACGAAATGATTCTGCCTTTGCAGAAACAGTGGATAAATCTGGACGATATATACTATGAGCTGGCTGTGCTTGTGCTATGTTAGACATAACCATTCCAACAGATCTATTCTGATGAGAAATGGAGGATGGCACAAATGGTCCAGAATTTCCATTTCTAGGTGCATTATGTATGTTGTTCTGAGCTGACAGAGCTTCCTTGCAAACTTCAACATTCTTCTCGGTGACAACACCTAAGCTTGACATGCATTTTTGTTTCTCCAGGTGTTCAGCAGAGCACACTGTATACTGATTAGCGACAAATTTCTGTTGTGTATTTGTTTGAGGAAGTGCTACTGTTTTACTGTCCCCACCATCTTTTGAAGTTGTCCAGCCACTTTCATCTTCTGACTTTGTTGGAGTAAAACTCAACATACTGGATTGTGGAGTATGTCTTGTACCAACTTCTTCCAACATTGTTGATCTCTCACTCTGAACTGTACCGAGTAAATGTTTCCAGTATTCCATTATTTGCCTGCATATATCCACATATGCATCTGAGGGAGCAAGTCTCTGGAGGACCTTGACAACATCATAATGATTGTAATATCTTGCATAAGACTCTACATCTGAAGATGTTTCGATCCTGCAGTATTTGATGGAACAAAACATTAAAGGAAGTAGAGGACAAACAATAGCAGGTCATGCAAAACAAATCTTTAGTAGACGTATTGTATGATTAATAAGCAAGAACTTACACCAGTAAATAGTTGCAGGTTCCTAAGAATAGCCTCCCGCACATATCAACGCCAAACATTTGAGCTCCTCTTGCACCACGTTCAATTCTTGACGAAGTTGGTCCAAGCTTGTTGACCACACATTCTGGACAGAACCAGTCTCCATGGGGAAGGAAAGCTTTGTTTTGACCAATACATCTCGAATGATATGCCCATGGGCAGCCATCACAGCATACCAAAGTCCCATCCATTCCACATATTCGGCAATCATCACTATTGCCGTCCTGAGAAACATCTGCTATAGCAACATCTGGATTTGTTACATTTGGAGCACTTTCAAAGTTCTGTAAATCATTCATCATTTTGTAAGCTGAGGCCTTTGAGGCTCTAGTCGAGACTGCTCTTGAACCAGCCTCCCAAAAGGTGCTAGAATCTATCTCATATTCCATCTCCTCATTGTAGCCTACTCGATCATCCAGTACAGTTTTGAATTCTTCTGATTCAAGGACATGGTCACAGAGTATTTGCAGCACCCTCAACTTCGTGGCAACAGGAAGTTTATAGTATTCGGCAGCTAGGAGGTTTCTAGCAAAACTCTGCCCCCCTAGATTCTTAATGCACCTCATCACATACAGGTACTCTAGTAAGAAAGTTGGCCAAGTCAATGCATCTAGTAATGTCCAATCCAGATACCTGTACACGGTTCAAGGAAAGTGAAATATTGTCAGAATTTTAAGTAAAAAATAAATGCAATACCTATAAAATAGTTACTGTATTTAAAAGGGGGTTGATAGAGTATATGTACTTTAAGCAATTCGAAGCCATCTGAGATCCTTCAGCAGATTTAGATTCAAGATGCCGCTTCAGTGCCCGCAGTAGCGAGACATGTACGGCATCCAACAAGTTATTCTGAACAGCGCAATTAATGGCTGCAACAAAATCATCCAGCCCAAACGGACTCAGGAACAGCTGCACGCTGAAGGATCGCAGGAAGTTATAAACCGAAAAGAGATAGCTTATGGAATCTTCTGGCACAGGAATGTCTCCCGATGACGGGGGCAACTCCACAGCCTGTACAGGAGGGCGTGGCTCGGATGGTTCTTCTTTAGTGAAATCAGATGAATTACTCGAAGATTCGATATCCTCGGACATATCCGAGCCAGACCCACTATACTGCAGCGCATCACGGTTGGCAGGCATCTCGCATCCGTCAACCCTCTGCCTAGTACTTGCTGGCTCTTTCACCTCGGAGGCACTCCCCGACAAAACCAGCAGGTCTAGCTTCCTCTTCCTGCAGCTCACCTTCATGCCTAACGCACCATTCTCGTCGGGCATGAGGAACTCCCGGAGCTGAGGAAACGCCAAATCCTCAGCATGTCCATCCTCAAACACCACACTGTACACGCCAGCTGTGCTATCATAGGACGCAACCTTCCCAATAAGAACGCACGCATGCCCCGGCATGTGGCGGCCAATGTAACGGCCGACCAAGCACTCCCCTACTTCCTTGGCGCGCACCGGAAGGCCCCCAGCAGATGTGGCAGCAGTCCCTTGGTTCACCACCCTTCCATCAGTTTCCACCATCTTAACCTCTCCCGCCACAGCCGTTCCTGCGCATTCTTGTTCCGGAACACGGCTGTCATCCACCTCCATCTTCACTTCAGACGCCCCAGCCACTCTCGCGCGCTCTTGCTCCCGAACACGGCTATCATCCACCTCCACTACTCTTCCATCAGCTTCCTCCATCTTAGCCTCTCCCACCACTGCCGTTCCCGCGCACTCTTGTTCCTGAACACAGCTACCATCCACCTCCATCTTCACTTCAGACACCCCAGCCGCTCCCGCGCACTCTTGTTCCCGAACATGGCTGTCACCCACCTCCATCTCCACTTCAGACGCCACAGGACCCAAATCCTGCTCTGCCCCCGGATCGCTCCCCACATCCACCTCGCTGGCCATACAGGCCGACGGAGAGCGCTGCTTCTGCTTGCTCGCGTCGCCACCCAAGTCCACCACCTCCATCTTCGCCTCGAGCACCGCGGGATCCACATCTCGCGATCCCCCCGCAATGCCGCCCTGAGCCACCTCACTCGCCACGTGCACAGCAGCCCGCCCTTCGCCCGCGCCGCCGTCCCCGTCCGCCTCACGCGCCGCGGGGCGCTCTTCGCCCGCAGTAGCAGCAGCGGCGCCGCCGCCGCCTTCGTTAGCCTCCGCCGTGGGCTCGCTCCCGAGCCCTCCGCGTCACCCCCACGCCCCGCGGCGCCGCCTCCACCCGGCTCGGCCTCACCGGCTGCGCGTGCCGCAGCAGGCGCTTCCGCCCCACCGGCGGTCTCCGTCTTCACGCCACCAGCGGCCGCCGCCTCCGCGGGGGAGGCGGCGGCGAGGCCCTGCGGCGCCGCCCGATCGGGATCGTCCCGTGGCCCGGTGCCCGCGGCGGCGTCTTCCATGGCCCCCCCGGCGCGAGAACCCTAGCTTTCTCGCACGCTACCGAGGCATCCTCGTCCGCGAGTCGAGGGCGAATTGTGCGGGTTCCGACGGGGGCTGGTGCGGATGACGAATCTGCGATGGGAGCCGCCGATCTCGCGGCGGAGGCGGGCGATTGGAATGGGATGCGCTCGCAAACCCTACGGCGAGTGGCGGCGGCGAGGAGGAGGAGTTGGGGGAAGAGGTGGAGATGATGATGGATGGAGGAAGGGAAGGGAAGGGGAGGAGAAGCACTGGGTCACTGGGACACACCAGCGCAGCGAGTGCACGAGGGAAGGCAAGTGCAGGGGCAGGGCACCCAGCGCGCCGCACCCGACTCGTCGCACCCCAGCCTGGCTCGCGTCGCACTTCCCGGGCGGGCTGCGTGTGCGGGTGCGGGTGCGGTGCGGGTCGTGGCGCGGCGGTGGGACGTGGCGAAATGGTGAGACGTGGCAAAGTGGTGAACGTTGGTGGTCTCGCTCTGGCTGGTCCGGACCGTCCGTTGGGCTTCGTTCGGGAGAGTTCGCTCGTATGCGGGTGCGGGTGCGGACGGACCCGGTGCGGTCGAGCGAGCGTGCAGGTGTCGGTCGGGCCCCCTCGTCGTGTCCGCGGCTGCGCGCCGCGTCCAGTCCAGCCTACAAGGCGGCCGGTCGCTGGTCGACGGCCGCGCGCAACCGCATCAAGGCGGGCAGTGGTGGTGGAGGGAAGGGGGAGGGGTGCTGCGAGTTTTTCAAATTCAAAATCGGTGGAGGGGTCGCCTGCTCAGGTAGTAGGGCAGGGCAGGGCAACGGTTTGCTTGCTCGCTCGCGCCAAGTCGCCGCGCCCTTGGGCACTTGGTCGCGGTGGCGCTTTCCTGGTGGCCGTAGCGTGTGCCCGCTGCTGAGCTGCGCAGCGCCACAAATTCCGCGGTGTGGTGTGGGCTTCGTTTTGCTCTCGTGCGTCAGTGCGTCCACCCAGTTCTAGGTCCATCTTTGCATGTAATAGCAAGCTACCTGACTCACTCTTTGGTTGAGTTGCTTGTGTACGTGCTTCTTTTTAACTAAGCTAAGATGGTATCCTCCGTATATATACAGTTGGGAGTGTGCAGTTGAATGAACACGATGCATGTGTGTTGCATCTTAGTACATGAAACTCTGGTGCCAAATTGTGATCCCTATGTAGTATATATATGTGTAGGGTATGTTCACATGTTGTGTAGGATATATAACTTCTTCATTCTCGTCTCAAAGGATTCCGCAATCATTTACACTAGAAAAGCTATGTATCTAAAAAAAAAATCAGAACTACATACAATTTGAAATGGAGGAAGTAGTTACTACACACATCTATAAATATATAACATCTTCTAGAAACTAAACCTAATTAAGAAGGGACACAAAAGTCTTTTAGGCCTACTATTGAAGCAGTTGGGTCAGCTCATGATTGGCGCAATTGATGGGGTGAGTCGGCTCCTGGTTGTTGGCTACCTCTTTATTTGGTACTTAGAAATCCTTATGTTTGTGTGAACAAAATTTAAATGAACAGCATAAGTTCCTATATTCATGGGTGGAGTGAGTAGGTGAGACTATGGATCTATACATTTGGAATGCAAGCATACTGCAAATATTATGCAGAAACAAGGGCTACGTGTTCCAAACTAGATAAAAAGGTTTGGGTCTCACATAATTGTCTCTCGACAACTTGTATGTGCTTGTTCTTATCGTGTGTGTATCATGTTTTGAAGTATATATAAGGACATTTTAATATAGCCTTTTCGTGACTCGTCCAAAGTGGCATGAGGTTTGCCTTTCTATTAAGACCTGGACGTTGGTAAAAATCCCTGAGCGAAAAACTGATGAAATAGAAGATTGCACGGTAAAAATGGACCATTGATCTCCCCTGCTGGTGCCAATGCACCATGATGAAGAACTTTTTTATACTACTAAACTGAGATTTTACCATATACTCCCTCCATCCCAAATTATAAGTCATCCCAAGAATTTTGGAGACTCAAATTAAAGCACCGCAAGTTTGACCAAAATTATAGAAATAATTATAAAGATTTATGATATCAAATAGATATACTATGAAAATATAATTAATGAAGACTTAATGATACTTAGTTGGTATCATAAATGCTATTACCTTATCATATAAATTTGGTCAAACTTTAGATGCTTTGAATCTACAAGATTCTTGGAATGACTTATAATTTGGGATGGAGGGAGTAATCCTTTATGTTTTTTGATGTGTTAGAGAGTATTGCACCAGGGCAATATTAGTGCTAGCTTCACCCCCAAAGGTCCCTGACCCGGTTTAGTGGAGGAGAAATGCACATGTGACGTGTAGAATGACGGGATAAAAGGTGAAAACTATGCTTATCTAGAGCAAGAGAATTCTTCGAATCCTCTTTTTGAATTGTCATAGTTCATGCAAAGTTCTATGAAGCTATTGCCATTCAAGTATGCCGATAGTTGTCTTACAAGGTGTATGAATAGCATGGAAAAGGTACACACGATCAAAGAAACTATGAAACTTGAACTACACAAAAAAAACTACAGTGAATAGAATTTTAGGCCTTATTAAGCAGTCCCATTTATTGAAGAAACATTTCTGGTGGAAAACCGATTCTAATTGTCTTGGGAAGCAGGTTTTTGTGGTTTATAGGATGTGGTAGAGTCCAGGAAACATTTTTAGTTTTGACATTGGATCTCTAAGTCATTTGGTAGGGATTATGTGAAAGTTTGAAAAATCCTTACCAAACTGGGCCTTAGTTTGCACATAGCCACTAATTAAGATTCTCTTTGAGAGAGTTGAGAATATGTTTAATTTCATATATACCTTAAGTCCCATATTGATAAGCGTATCTTATACGAGGAAAAGTCAAAATTTTATCAACTTTGACTAACAATTATTCACATTATACACAAGTTTAGGGTATAAAATTTGCATCAATAGATTTGCATTTGGAGTACACCCATTAGGTGATATTGGTTCTTTAGCAAATGACAATATATTGGAAGATAAATTAAGGGTCAAAATTTGTTTTATTTGACTTTTTGTAATCAAAATACCTCATAATTTTGGGATGGAGATTAAATTCTTCTACAAACTTGACAAATATACTAGGAAAAGCATTTCAAGAATGTACCACACAACTAAATGTGAACCACAACAAAATTTAAAGAGTTAAATGCATCAGCGGCCTCTAAACTTGTCTAAGAGGTGTCAATTGGGTCCACGAACTTTGAAAACACATTCACTACTACCAAATCCATTTTTTGAGTCAGTTAATGAGATTTCCAGAGGCGAGGGATATTTCCTTCTTTGGTTTAACTTCACTGGAAATCCCGATTTCCAGAGGCAATCAAAATGCCAGCCTATGAAAATAGGTTTAAAAAACAAACAAAAATGATCCCACTGATGAGCCCATTTCTAAGACCGTCATCGAGCCCGCTAAGCCCACCATGCGCCGCGCCCTAGATTTGTAGCTCCGGCGCCACACCCTGGATCTGCATCCGAAAATAAAGATACTGATAAAACACAACACATATATGATAAAAATCTATGAAAGAGGGGGACCGCCTCTGAAAATGAGCACTATTTTCAGAGATGGGCATCTTAAGAGGCTGACAACACATATATGATACAAAAAGATCAATGAAAGAGGGGGCCGCCTCCGAAAATGAGCACTGTTTTCAGAGGCGAACATCTTAAGAGGCTTGCCTCTGTTAATCAATTCACAGAGACGGGCTTTTTTGGACTGCCTCCAAAAATGGATTGGGTGTCTCCGAAATTGATTATATATTTTGGGAGACACCAAAATTTCTTGTTCGCCTCTTCAAATAAAAATGGCCTGTCTCCTGGAACCATTTTTATAGTAGTGATTTCTAGGTCCCTAAACTTGTTAAGTGGTGCACCACACATCTCTAAACTTATAAAATGGTCAACCGTAGGTTCATTATTGGACCATATCGACCACTGCAATGCATTACATAACAAGTTTACGGACCTAGAAAATAGACCTAAGTAGCATCCCTCAACAAGCTCGGGGACCATCCATGCATTTTATAACTTAAATTTAAAATATAAATGGCAAGCATAAAGTTTGCTTCTCTGCTTGAATCATATTCTTGCTCTTAATTGTGTCATTTGCTACAAAGCTTGTGCCTCGGCCCCCTTGGGAGTTGGAATTGAGGCAAGTATTTCATGGACCGGACTAAGAAAAAGGTCAATACCTTTTAGATTGAAAATCTGTACATAGGTCGTCACAAGGCTTTGGAAAAAGTCCTCCTAACCTCCCTTAACTATTGGGATAATCCGATTTACCTCCTTCAACTACAAAACCAGATGTTTGTGCTCCTCAAACTATTGAAATTGATTTACCCCCTTGGGCCATTTTGAAAGCGATTTTTGTTGACATGGCGCCACGTTAGCCACGGGGGAGGTAAATTGGACTTTCACAAGGAGGTCAACTAGACTTTAGAAAAAAAATTTGTAGAAATATTTTTTCAAAAAGTATCTGACTGCGGAGACTGGAGCTTGTGAATCCAGCGGCGACGATCCGCAGAATCATCATT